GGTACGTTTGTCTATTTCTCACCAGTTGTGTAATTTTTAGGAAAATGTACAATTTGATATTCATTTGAGAAAAAAAAAAAACATTTATTTTAATCCAAGACTATACATTCATTTTTGGAAGCAGAACCCATATTTTTGAATTTCATTCTTTTGCTCTCAGTTTCAATTTTCTTGCAGAAATTCGACCAAATAAATGATTTAGTTGAAGACAACGTCTAGTAGTATCATCTGAACTATTTCTGTATTTCGTCGATTCAATGACAATTTGTTTTCGTCTCTAGAAAATTGTCGTTTAAAATCAGATTTGAAAACCTTGACATTTATAAATTTGCTGCCCACTTCAGCGGAAATATTCCGAGGGCAGTGACATTTTCCATTTGGGATTTAGCCTCCTCACAAAGAGCAATAACTTTTTGGCTTTTTGCATTTGAAACACAAAGCATTTGAATAAAATATGAATTTTAATTGTTTCTAAATGATATTGAACAAATTTAAATTTTCGTTTTAGTCAGATATATTTAAGAATCTAAAACATTTGTATGCTAAAAATTTTGCAGTATTTTTTAAAATCAGTCTTATTATTTTCAAAGTGTACAGAAAAATAGATTAAGCCCTCATCTCTTATATTAAAGCTAAGTAAAGTATTAAGAAACAGAAAAAGATCGCTAGAAAGAAAGAAAAGATTACTGAACTGTTATGTAATATCTATCCTCCTATATGGCAGTGAATGCTGGACAATCTTCTCACAGATGAGGAAGAGATTTGAAACAAAAGAAATGGGATCCTATAGAAGGATGCTGAGTATACCATGGACCAAACATGTGACCAATGACAAAGTTTTAGAGAAAATGGAAATAAAAAACACTTATGCTTAACATCTGGGAGAGACAGTTGAAATTTCATGGGTACATAATAAGGAAAGAGGGCTTGGAAAATGTTATACACACAGGACCGATTGAAAGCAAGGGGCAGAGGAAAACAACGTATACCTAGAGTGCTTGAGTAAACGGATGAAAGAACAAACTTTATGAGAGATAACAAAAAGACAACATTTATTAAGAGCTCTAAAGGACAAGAAATTGTGGAGAGCCATAGTCACTAATGACCTGAAGGGACACGGCACATAGGAAAATTTATTAAATGCTGTGTGCACGCAAACTAACTGACCTTTTCATAGCTTTGTGCTAATCCAGGTTTTAAATGAAGTTTTAATCTTACCACAAATGAGATTTTAATCTTACCACAACCCACGATGCTGTTTTATTCAACAATTCAAAGCATATTCATTCTGTTATAAATAACATTTAGTTGCTAATAAGCACGACAGAATCTTAATATATTAATATATACCGGCTCAAAGTTGTGATATAGGTATGTTTTTGAGCTTTTGATTTACTTACAGTATAAACTTGTGCTTTACTGGTATCTTTTGTCGGAGATTTTGACAGGGACACGATTCCAGTGATTGAGTCGATATAGAAATAATCGCTTTTGGTAACAAGTTCATAACGGACCGCATTGTATGGGCTTATAGCATCGGCATCAGTTGCCAAAACCTTAACGATTTCGCTACCGAAGGGGTAATTCTCAGGAATGGTCTTTCTGTAAGAAGTCGTTTGGAAGATTGGAGAGTTTTTGTTTTTGTTGATAATCACAGTCAGAACTTTATTGTCCATTTTGGATGAATTTGCTTTGTCAACGGTTTGGATACGAACCTGTGGCGAAGAAAATAAATATACAATTATAATAGAAATGATAACGATCTTTACTGTCATTTATCGGACCACTTGCTTGTATTCTTCTATTTGAGAAGCTACTAGGAATCGTGGACGACCTGCAAAATATCTTACATGCAAATACTGAAGCAAATATTTGGTTGCAATAGAAAGCAAAATATATGTGCAAAAGTCTATGTTGGCACTATTGAAGATGTGCAGGCATTCCATAAGAGCAGGTTCTGCAATATAAGCACCGTTAACCTCAAAAAGACATGCAAACTGATATTTTGTCATTTTTATTCAGTGTCTATGTTTGTGCATAGAGTTATTACTCAGAATAAGACTTGCGGCCTGAGTATGCTGAATGACTGACACTTGCTTGATCATCGAAGTTAAACAATATTCAGTTGGGTCAAGAAGGTGACCATTTGAAAATGCCCGATACTGTAAGGAAAAAGGAGAAGAAAACTGAGTTTCAAACCTAATATATGGTAATGTCAGTGGTGAGAATAGCCGTTTCTATACAGGAAACATTCGATATTCATTGTTAGTATTACTCTCGTTTGAAATTTATAAAAATACTTTTCTTAAAACAGTTTTTCCAAGCAAATCACACTTCTTCATTTACACTAATTGTTATAAGTCTTTTTAGTATTAGTGAAAGTTTCCTTCAAATTCTTTTCTTTAAGGTAGTGTGGAAAGCACACATCTTGATTATATAATTATTTTCCCTTCTAGTTACATGCATTACCCATTTTAATTGTTGTTCAAGTGATGTGATT